ACTCTTTCTGCAAAGGCATTTTGGTGTGGGCTCTTGGCCATCGTCCCTGGCAAGTGGGTCAGTACCTGCTGCGTGGCCTCCCCTGAGCCAGTATCGTAGGGCAGAAATCGTAGGGTCATCCCAGCTGGAAACCTGGCCTTTAATGTGTGTTATAGAGATGCATTGCTTTCAGTTTTGATGCTTTCCAGTATCAGCCCAAGTAAACTTTACACATTTTCATACAAAACGTAGTCCTAAAAGTTTTAGGTTGTGTCTTTCGAAAAGCTCTTGAAATTTGGTGACAAGAGGTTCACTGGAACATGTGGTTTGGATGAAACTAAAGGGCTGTTACTAGTACTGGTAACTCATGGCTGTTTACACATTCAACCACCATTTTGTTTAGGTCTGTATGAACAGGATTTTATAATAATTGTAGGAATCATGTTTAATTTCTTTCTTCTCTTGAACATTGCTTGGACAAAGGATTAATGCTAAGAGAAGCTACAGAATACAGTGACCACCTTCTAGTCATTAGGGAAAAAAATCAGAATTAAAGCCATATTCAAAATGAATCTAGCTTCGTGGAAGCAAATATTCATTCCCCTGCAGAAAGATTTTGCATTCTGACAAATGTCTTGAAACTTGGGGGGAGGTGGGGAGGCATTTGAATTGTGAAGTTGTTATATTCCCCTGGATGAAATAGGTTTGTTTACTTGTTTCTGTTCCAACTGTCTAAAATTATCCATACAAATTATTGATGCTGTTCTATCTGTTTATGACATGCATATTTGTGTTCCTCAGATAAATGGGAAGCCCCTGCAGTACATTTTCCCTCATGCAAGGCTCAAACTGCTGAGAGACCCAAAGGATCACACAGTTTCAGGTAAAAAATGACAACTCTCTACAAGACATGATAATTAATTTGATTAGTATGAATCATGCAAAAGATTTGCAGTATTAAAAATAGCTCCTGTCTCATATGCAGCAGGAAATTCAGTGGTCATTTTAAATCTTGTTAGTTGGTTGTAACAGAGAGCAGCAGTCCGGAAAAAAGGTCACAACATCTGTTCAAGATACATAAGCTATACAGACACTAAAAACAGAGGGAAAATCTGTTGTATTACACATATGAGCAGTCTGTTTTGCTGTTGCTTTTTATATAACTCTATATTATCTTTATGAGATGTTTCTGTAAAATAGGCTTCTGTAGGTGTTCCACATGTACAGAATTTTTTTTTTTTTTTTCTGTGCTGGAACTATTCTATAGAGGGGGGTAGCAAAACCATCAGATCCCATTTTTTCTGTGATATCTTCACATAGAAACATTAATCACAGGACTTCAGATTTATTCTCTTTTCCCTAACACTGACACGAATGTTCGTGTGAGTCTGAGTCTGCTTGCAAAGGAGATTAAAGTGGCAAAGGTTATGTTCATTCACCTCTGGGACTGTGAGCAGGAAGGCAGTGCGATGTTTTCCTGTGTCAAATTGTAGAAGACTGCCAGTTCCAAGGTCTAGCCCAGGTAAGGTCTGTCTGTTTGAGCTTTTGGAATTGCACTCTTTCTCACATCTAATACTGATAAGGAGTTCAAAGGCTTTTTAACATGCTGTTTGTCTTCTTTCAGAGGCACAGGCTTTGAGCAGTTTTGTTGTGGGACCTTCAGAGTTTCTTTTAACTCTCTTAGAGAATTCTCGTAGTGTGTGTCAAACTCTGTTTCTGTGCAGAAATAATTACCGACTGCCAGCTCCAGCGTTCCCTCAAGCATTAAGTAGAAAGTGGCACAAACCTACTTGAATTGCTAAATATTGTTTTCGCAGGGTTTCTGGCAGTAAAATCTTGATCACTTCCACCCCCAGTATCCACCTCATATTTAGGGTGTTAAACGCAAGTTCTGTATCTATTATGAGGTATTTTCTTGCTAGTCAGTGAAACACCCACTGGTGATTTCAGGATCCATAAAGACCCTCCTCCCACGCAGTGCGGTGAGGGAAGCCGTGGGTCGCTGCCGTGACAGCCCCCCGCTGCCCCGGGCCCCTTGGTCCATGGGAGCCGAGATCTCTGCCTGATGGGGTGATGAGTAGTGCTGTGATCCAGGCTGCTCTCCTACTCGACAACAAGTGGAATTACAACCACACAACTGTGTATAGCTCATGATTTAATGTTGCTGAAAGCTTGTTCTTCTACTTAAAGTTACTTACTGTCGTGCAATGTAAAACGCCAGTTCCAAATTCTCCACTAGCTCTCGTGCTGGTAACCACAGCAACATGCTGTGCATCAGGATAATGCCTTGCAGGCAATGACTGGAAAACCAAGGTGCAGGTATTGACTTCCCATTTACTAATGCCCTGCACAGCATGAGATCACACAGGATCAAATATTCGCTCAGGATTCTGCTAAGGTTTTGTATCCCACACTGGGATTGCAGGCTGCTGTAGCTGTGCTATATTGTACCTAAATTCTGTTTGGAGTAAGCAGGCTTGGCTTTGTGTCTACAAGCTGCAGTCATACTTTTGGGGTTTAGTCCAGATACACCCTTGCAGACCTGCACAGACTTACTTCTATGTTTTTTTCCTACAAATATAAAAAGGCTTAAATGCAAATTTTACAGTAAAGAGCCAAAGGTGGGATAGGATACCAATAGGGAGGACCTGAGCCAGAAGAAATTGTTGTATTTTTCACTCCTTGTACAAGTAGCATAACTCCTTGCCTTTGTACCTCCCTTCCTCCCCCTCTGTCAGTGGCTGAAGGATTAAAATACATGGAAAATCTCTTTAAATGCACGGTGCTTTATGCTTAGCCTCCAGCTTTCCAGATGACCTCTCCCAGAGCCACATATATGGGTTTTATTCCCTTTTTTAAAAATTCAATTTTGATTAAACGTTATCTGCAAACTAATAGCAAGTATCTTTATTAACCAGACAATGACTATTAGCCAGACAATGACTTTTAGCCAGAGGCAGACTTAGAAATCTGTTATACAGAAGAAGTTACTTAAAATATTGGTAGATTAAACAATATGTACTCTTATTGCACCAAGCTACCTCACTGCAAGATTATTGAATATTCATCTAGATGCCGTGGTTGGTTGGTGGCTGGCTGGTTTCTTGCTCTGTTTCTTTCTTTCTTCCCTTCCTCTCTTTCTTCTGCTCTCCTTTCTTCCCTCCCCCTTTCTTTCCTATAAAAAGTACCAAAATGCAAAATGAGGTGTTGAATCCTTTTATTTCACTGTTTGCCTTATGCTAGTTGCATACGCGCAGGAAGAGTGTATGTTAAAAAACTCAACAACTCTCAGTAAAGCTCACATGGGGAGTCAGATCTCTCCAAGAGAACAGCTGGTCACTGTCTGGGTGCCAATGGGAGTCTCTGTTGCAAACATCCTTTTAGTAGCATCTTCAGCTGTATCGGACAAGACTCCCTGAACTGTCGTGTTGCTGGATTCTTAGAAGGCAGATGGCTTGTGGCCCTGGGTGACCACGACAGCATATGCATCATTTATTGTCTCTGATTATTGTACAGTATGGACAAAACATCCTCTGTCTTAGCTCTGCAGAAAAGCCTGTCCTGTGTAATCACTTCTGCACACACAAGAACAGTTTCTACTGATGATTTAAATGATCTACGTGTAGTTTGGTCAGTTCAAGAGCAGGAGCTGCCTGGGGAGATTACTGAGACTCATGGGTTCTCTTCTCAGGGAATTAAGGAACACATCTTAAATACACAAATAGTGTGTCTTAACTGGTGTGTGCACAGCAGGAGCTACAAAGGGAAATCTAAACTGTCCACAATTCCCACTTGGAGAACTCCTGTTGATCAGCTGCTTTGCTGGGAAGCTGGCCAGTGGTTCAGCCCATCACCTCATTTCACTGGGGAGTTCCTGGGCCAGCCTGGGCATTAATGACTCAGTGTGCTGGGTCAGCCCAGGCACCCAGCTATACCACAGCTGTAACTATAGGGCAAGCTTGAGTTTCATCCTAAAATCACCATTATCATTTGAATTCCATAGATCTCATCACATATTTACTATAGTGGGAGTTAGTGGCTGATTGTGGATGCAGAAATTGTCACATTATCAATATCAATAATGAGTAGTCCCAAATAATTTTAAATTCCAGCCATATCTCTGTATATTATGTGTACATGCATTCTGTTTGTTTGTTTTCTTGATTAATGAAAACTGGCTCTGAGGTACAGATGTTTTTGATGCCTTTTACATAATCTGGCAGAATTTTGCACACAAAAACATTTACTGCAAATTTTAGCATGTGAATGAGGTGTTTAAGGAATGAGGAAGCAGGCCAACATTGTTATGGCAAGAGAAGAGTAGCTCAGAATGCAAAATATATACTTGCTAGCTGGCCTCGCTCTTGAGGGGTTTGTTTCTTTAGCACATGCCATTGACTAGAACTCACACTTCTTTTCAAGGTCCCTCCTGAGGCAATGCTGATAGATGTGAAGGAATTGACAAGGATTTTCTCTGCAAAGATTGATTAATAACTTGCAATTAAAAAAAAAAAAAAAAAGGAATTGGCATCATTGTTATGCTGAGGTGCCAAAGCGATGACGGCAGTGATCAGTGAATGATAATACAGCAATATTTAATGCTCCAAAAACTCACTGTTTGTTTTCACTGAGAATCCCTTGTTCCTTTTGGATCCTTTAGCGTAGAAGCATAAGCACTGTTTCATGCTGCCAGCATCTTCTCTTCTGTTTTTTAACACGTCATAGTTATGTTTGAAAAAAGTGAAGAGAGGACGTGGGTACTGAAGGTAATGAAAGCATTGGCAATACGTTTGGAAATGTTGCAAAGATAAAAACATACATTGTGTTATTCCTGATCAGAAAGCTATGTAGGCACACTGGGTGAAAACCCAACACAGCAGACATATCTCAGTAGGTCTAACGGTACAACGAGTGCACTCAGTCAAAGGTAATTTTGCTGCTTTGCCTCACTTAGGATGAGTCACAAGTAATTCTTCCCTTTCCAAAGGTAGAATACTCTTTGTTTCCAGGGAGCAAAACATACCTTTGAGCAGCCAGCCTGTCCCTGTTGTGGAACATCCTCTTCAATTCTGATAAAAAAATAAAAAAAAAAAGGCAGAGAAGCAATTCAGAAAAAGCTGTGAACTTTATAGTAGAGTAAAGAAGCGAGTTAGACTGTGGGCAGAAGGCTGTGTCCCTAATCTTCCCTTCAGCAGTGATGTCAGTGAAACTGCTAAGAGGGTGACAGGGTAGCTGTGATGCTGCACACACGTCAGAGATGCCTCATACTCTCCATAAGGATTACTAATTCCTGCACACAACACTACACTTCTGCAGCATGCCAGCTCATGTGGTACTTATCCTGAGAGAGGAAGAGAATTCAAATAAAATACTTTCCTTTAATAACTGAGGAAGAATTTAATCCCTAATTAATGGCCATCATTCCCTCAATCACTCCATCCTTATCGGAGATGGGACACAGAAGGTAAAAACCCATAAATAGAGGGACAGAGCTGTTACAGCCAGGCAGCGTCAGAGATTTTCTGGTGAAGTCATATGGCAGTAAGTGAGGACACGAATAGGAAATAAAGGGATGGAGAGATGTCTGTTTGTGTCTTAATAGCAATCTTAGAAAGAACTTAATACCATTCCAGTTTTCTAAATGTTTAAAAAAAAAAAAAAACACAAACAAATGTTTATATTTTAGAGACATTTTGTAGAGATATAGACTACATATTCCATGTTTATGTCCCTTGTTTATGTGCCTTCTCTCTAAATTAACTAGTGTGTGTATTTAAAATAATTTCCATGAACCCTTTTTGAAATGTTTTCTAAATGTTTATTTTCCAGTGTATTATGCATTTTCCAGTGTATGAACATCTGTTGAAGGATGTCTAATAAGAT